TTTATTCATGTAGGTCTATTACAGACTCTTATGATATGTCAAATCTACCGTCAGTTCGGAATGATTTCGAGATGAGAAAAACTGACAAGAAACTCAGCTCGTATTCTTTTCAAATAAATGTTGTACATGTTTACAATAATACATATTCATTTTTAAATTCAAATTTGCGAGAATAGAGTGACCACCAGGATATGCTATAGTAAAAGCAAATAATCCTCAGACAAGCAGCACCCGTTCACGAGTATGACGGATAATATTATACGTCATACTCGTGAACGGGTGCTGCTACCTATACAGGCATAAGTGAATATAGAATTACTAGTATTATAAGTTATAGTACGGGTGGCAACCCTAGGTATATACTACGCCTACCCAATTACCAACTCACGCCGCACCCCATGCAATACTAGCTATTATTTTTATTGTAATACGACACACAATAGAATTACAGTTATTATGATTGCTACCATTCTATATCAAGGTGTGAGTAATACAAATTTCTTAATAATGAATGTTATAATATTTTGGGGTTCTAGCAGGGATCTATAGGGATGATCCATGGGTTCAAATCCGGCTCGAAGGACCATAATGATGTATGAGTCTGCTGTGACCCATGCAATCTGTAAACCTTGTAATATTTTGGGGTTCCTAACAGGGATCTATGGGGATGATCCATAGGTTCAAATCCGGCTCGAAGGACCATAAAGATGTATGAGTCTGCTGTGACCCATGCAATCTGTAAACCTTGTAATATTTTGGGGTTCCTAACAGGGATCTATAGGGATGATCCATAGGTTCAAATCCAGCTCGAAGGACCATAATGATGTATGAGTCTGCTGTGACCCATGCAATCTGTAAACCTTGTAATATTTTGGGGTCCTAACAGGGATCTATAGGGATGATCCATAGGTTCAAATCTGGCTCGAAGGACCATAATGATGTAAGTCTGCTGTTACCCATGCAATCTGTAAACCTTCTAATATTTTGAGGTTCCTAACAGGGATCTATAGGGATGATCCATAGGTTCAAATCTGGCTCGAAGGACCATAAAGATGTATGAGTCTACTGTGACCCATGCAATCTGTAAACCTTGTAATATCTTGGGGTTCCTAACAGGGATCTATAGGGATGATCCATAGGTTCAAAGCCGGCTCGAAGGACCATAATGATGTAAGTCTTCTGTGACCCATGCAATCTGTAAACCTTGTAATATTGTGGGGTTCCTAACAGGGATCTATAGGGATGATCCATAGGTTCAAATCCGGCTCGAAGGACCACACAGACGTATGAGTCTGCTGTGACCCATGCAATCTGGATCATATGGTGTTGCATAAATGATAAGTTCCTGACAGTTTGCTTGATTTATTGTTAATTTGTTCTATAAGCAAATATTTTAGTAACATATTGTAAGGTACATATAAAAACAATAAATAAATTCTTTCTCAGTCATTCTGTCAGTCTTTGTGTACGTAAAATGTACGTCGTCTTGTAAGTGCTCGCATTTTTTTGCTTAATTATCTACTTAATGTGTATATTACACATATTTCTTATTTATTTATGGTATTCGAGCGTTACCTTACTAGCCTTACTTTAGCACTCCGATGGTCGCGGGTTCAATTCCTTGCACGGCACAAATATTTGTATTCATGAGCCTAATTGTTTGCATCGGTCTGGGTGTTTTCTATGTATATTATATATGTATTTACAAAAAATATATATCAATGTATTTGTATCAATTATCTAGTACCCATAACACAAGCTTTAGCTAGCTTAACTTGAGTCTAGATGGAGCTGTGTGAATTGTTCTGAGATTATTATTATTATTATTATATATATATATATATATATTTGTTATATCTCCCTTTTTACGGGGGTAATATATTCAAACACGCGGGCCTTAGCCAAGCATGGATGAGTTATGTGATGAAGATAGAAATTTTCTGACTATTCGGCATGTGTTTAGTATGACGGCTTTTTTAATAGGTCTATTGTAGAGGAGGGGATATGCAACGTGTCTAGATGTTTGTTCAGACTTGTTGGTATAATTCCTGTGGATGATAAAACTATGGGTACTATGTGGATGGTGTGTGTTTTTTGATTGTTTTTTTAATTCTATTGCTAGATCTGTGTACTTTGTTAGTTTTTCATTGACTGTGCTTTGTATATTGTGTGTGTTTGGGATGGCTATATCTACAAGATATACTTATATATTATTATTATTATTATTATATACCTACCGAACAACACCTCCGCAAATTAAGAAGACGTTTATTTCTTAAATGTTATTTGTTTAACTTGTCTTAACTTGTTGGCTAACTTGACGTTTAATTGGTTTACACTTTTAGCGAAATGTTATTAGGTTAAGTTACATTTCGTTAACTGACTCAGTTAATAGTTCAGATGTAAATTTGATGACGAGAATAGAGGGGTACTTTGTCTATAATCATTTAATTTGTACAAGTAACTTTGTCTGAGTCATATTTTCATCGTTTTTGTAATATTTATCACTGCTGCTCCGATCCTATTTATCGTAGCGTGATATTATACATTCAAATTCAAAATCAAAATTCATTTATTCATGTAGGACATTTTAGCCGCTTATGAACGCCAAATTTTTACATTATAATTTCATTTTCACTACCGTTCAGTTCGGTATATAGATCCAATTGGGAAGAACTGGCAAGAAACTCAATTGAAATACTATTTTTTTTAACAGCCAGTTAATTTACAATATTTATATAACATTACATGAAAATCCCTTGAATGAACAACTATTGCCATGCACGCTCGTTATTCAAGTAATCGTTTAGTGAGTAATAGGCCTTGCTCAGTAAATATAATTTAACAGATGTTTTGAATTTATTTAATGGTAATTCCAATATATCCTTTGGTATCTTATTGTAAAATTTTATACCTATTCCCATAAAAGACCTATTGACTTTTTCTAAACGATACTTGGGGACAGCAAGTTTGTTTTTAAATCTAGTATTAATATTATGAATATTGCTGTCTTTTGGGAAAAAAACAGCAATATAGCCTATCATTTCTCGATATATGAGCTATCCAATACTAAAAGAATTTTCAAGTCACTTGACATGTCCACATTTCGCTCGGTATATTTAAATAAAAAACCACATTACCCCGATCGGCCGTAGGCTGTAGCCTACTTGCGAGTCATGTTCTCCTGGTACTTTCACTGCAATATTGATGATAGTAAAATAACTTCACGACTTTTAGTTATCTTTGATGGAGTAGTCAGAGGCATTCTCAACTGTCCATGTTGTGGTGGAGGCAATACTTGACATGTCCAGATTGCGCTCGGTGTATTTGAAAAAAAAAACACATTTCTCCTATAGGCGACGGTAGGCTGTAGCCTACTTGCGAGTCATGTTCTCCTGGTACTTTCACTGTAGTATCGGTCTTCACGACAGTTATCTTTGATGGGGTAGTCAGAGTCATTGTCAACTGTCGATGTTGTGAACGAAACACTTAGCCTATGTCCTTTCTCAGGGTCTAGACTATCTTTGTATCAGATTTCATTTAAATCGGTTCAGTAATTTTGACGTGAAAGACAGACAGATAAGAGTTACTTTCGCATTTATATTATATTAAGTATGGAGTATGGATATCGGTTATCAATAATGAATAGTTTCAACATTGTGTCGCGTTGAACATTAAAAAAAACGCATTTCTTTCTGCCACACACAATCACATTGTGGAATCACCTTCCAGCAATGGTATTTCCGAACCGATACGATATTGAAACCTTCAAGAAAAGAGCTTATTCCTTTTTAAAAGGCCGACAACGTACTTGCAATTACCCTGGTGTTGCGGGTGCTTATGGGCGGCGGTAATCACTTACCATCAGGTGAGCCGCATTATATAAAAAATAAAAAATAAATTATATGGTCAAACGTAATGTTTCGTACTTATTCTGTTCTTATATAAAGATAAAGCATAATATTTTATTTTTATACTCCTCAAAGATAGAATATTTGGTGCCCCAGGCCTCTTACAATACTTTTTAAACATGGCCTCCAATGTTTCTCATAATGAGATTGAGGCAAAGGAAAAATTTACACGATTCTTAAAAATCTATGCTTTAATTATTAACTACTTATAAAACCGAAAGTGTTTGTCTGTGTATTTTAATAAGTAAAATGTATTCCTTTTCAAAATTTAACGGCTGGACAGGTGTTAAAGAAATTTCGTGTCAAGATAGAGTGTATTTTAAGGATATTTTATAGTCTAGTTTTTGTCCCAAAAACGCAGGCGACGTAGCTAGTGACTAGTAGTATTAAGTATTATTGTAATTGATGTGATTAATGTATGTTTGTTACTCATATAACTCATGACCTTGGTGGTATAGCGGTTTAGCACATTTAATTCCAATGGTCGCGGGTTCGAGTCCTCGCACGGTACAAATATTTGTATTCATGAGTATGATTGTTTGTATCTGTCTGGGCGTTTTTTATGTATGATATTTATATATTTAAAAATATATATCTATGTATTTGTATCAGTTATCTAGTTTTTAACACAACAACTTTTTAACACAAGCTTTAGCTAGCTTAACTTGGGTCTAGATGGCGTTGTGTAAATTGTCCTGAGATTATTAATAATATAACTATATTTACTTACATTTCTTTATATATTCTTTATTTCATTAGTAAAAGCGTAATGGCATAATGATTAACTTGAACTGAAAAGCTTACGGCCCACCTGATGGTAAGTGTGATGGGATTAGATAGTATGAACTTTCGCCTATATAATATATACATATATATATATACTGATGGAAAAGCTATATACTACGGACATCACGTTATCATGTCACGTCCGTGATACAACTCATGCGTAGCCATTCTAGAGTACATAGATATATTTTATTATATTTAAACAATAATTCGTTAAAAATATTATAAAAAGTAAATTTAAAATTTAATTAATTTCCAATAATAGTCATTTATTTTTCATAGACAATTTCTTTTTTTTTTCAGGTACGACATTTTGTCAATTAGATTTGATAGCTGTCAAATTTTCCCAGCATGGCGTCCATGTCCCGCGTTCCGTTACTGCTCGTGATCACACTCCTGTACCTGGACAGCTGTTACACAGCTTCTGTAAGTAATGTTTTATACTGTATGCCTATTAGCTCATCCTAGTCCTATAATTTATAAATCTTATGATTCTTTTATTTCCCATAATAACATTAAACTTTAAAAAAAATTATCAAAATTTAATTTAAAAAAATATATATAATAAAAAGTAATTCAATTGAGTTTCTTGCCAGTTCTTCTCAATTGGATCTATATACCGAACTGGACGGTAGGGAAAAAAAATATAATGTAAAAATTTGACGTTCATAAGCGGCTAAAATGTCCTACATGAATAAATGATTTTTGAATTTGAATTTGAATTTATCCCATCTCGTTTCCTGTTTTAAGTGGCATAATAGGCAACACTAGTCTCTTGCCAAAGAAAAAAAAAACGTTTTATACATAACAACTTTTTTTTCACATATTTGTCCAAGTCTTTTTCAATGATGAAACAGGCAAAGATCGTTAGACCGTACAGCCTAATCTACTTTTCAGTTTCTTCATATTTGTACAGGTTATGCCAAAGGCTTATTGATAATAAATAAATTAAAAACCTTTTTGTTTGTACTCTTCTTCCCTTTAAACTTAAACATCATCATTACATAGTATAGAACAAAGTCGCTGTCGCTATCTGTCCGTCCCTATATATGCTTAAATCTTTAAACATCATCATTACTATAGTATAGAACATAAGTACTCTTCGCTGTTCGTCCCATCAGTTCTTTCCGTCCCTGGATATGTTTATATCAGCGTGGTTCACGGGTGGGGCTCCTCATGCGCTATCTTCCACTTCTATTAACTAAATAGTTTCGCATCGACAGCGTGCCATGAAAGATATACATATATGTGATCTTTTGACTACATTGTCGCGTGAACTATAGAAAAACTACGTTCTGCTTATGTCTTAGCCGCTTAAAACCAATGTGAAGATCAACCAAGTGAGGAAGACATTTTGCCCATTAAAAGAAGGCGAGTTAGGCGACTCATATCTGACAGTGAGGAGGAGTGTTGAAAGATTACATCATGTTACAAAAGTCTTTCTTTTGTTTTTGTTGGAAAACAGTTTTTTAGTTTAGTTTTTGTTTCATTTTTTTCATCATTTCCTTATTTTTATTGAATTGAAGAGTATGAACTCTTCAATTCAATAAAAATAATTTATAATTTATCTTGTCTTTTGTATTTATTGGTCTCCATATAACGCGGTACGAATGATGTGATTTGTACTTATTCTGAGTCTCTTATAGCGCGGTTTCCATACAACGCGGTACGCACTTACCGCGTTATAGGAGGGTTGACTGTATATATATAATACATATACACCCGTGGGAAGCCGGGCGAGTAGCTAGTAAGAAATAAATTGAAAACTTTTTTGTCGTACTTTTTTCCTTTGAATCAAAGGCAAAAGCAAACAGCCTTACAGTCATGTCTGCAATTAAACCTAAGATTGTGGTACTTTTTTCCTTTTAAAGGAAAGGCAAAAGCAAACAGCCATACAGTCATGTCTGTATTTAAACATTACCTTGTGGTACTTTTTTTCCTTTAAAGAAAAGGCAAAAACAAGTAGCCATACAGTCATGTCTGCATTTAAACATAACCTTGTGGTACTTTTTTTTCTTTTAAAGGAAAGCCAAAAGCAAACAGCCATACAGTCATGTCTGCAACTAAACCTAACCGTAAACTTTTTAATCACTTTTTTGTCCATTTCCAATGTCTTGTACATTTCTCGATTTTCTTTACTGTGGAATCACCTTCCAGCAATGGTATTTCCGAACCGATACGATATTGAAACCTTCAAGAAAGGAGCTTATTCCTTCTTAAAAGGCCGTTAACGTACTTGCAATTCCCCTGGTGTTGCGGGTGCTCATGGGCGGCGGTAATCACTTACCATCAGGTGAGCCGCATGCTCGTTTGTTCCCTATGCTATAAAGAGTTAATTTATGTAATTTAATATTTTCAGATACCCAGAAGTTTCGATCCTCGAATTGGTGATGAAATGATGCTCACCCCAAAGAAAAGACCTTTCTGCAATGCTTTCACAGGTTCGAAATTATCATATCCATCTTGGTGATAATCCTTACTAATATTATGATGGCAAACAAGCATACGGCCCATCTGATGGTAAATGGTTACCGTAGCCTATGGACGCCTGAAGCACCAGGGGTGTCACGTGCGCGTTGCCGACCCTTAAGAAACCTTAATATACCCTTCTTGAAAAACCCCATGCTGTAGTCTCATGAGAAAACCTCGGCAGGTAGTTCATTCCACAATCTAAGTGTACGCGGGAGGAAGCTCCTCTGAAACCGCACTGTCCGAGACCACTTAGGTTCCAGCGTGTGGGAATGAATTCCCTGTCGATGGCGAGCGGTGCGATGGTGAAAGGTGGCCGTAGGCATCATGTCGAACAATTCCTCAGAACACAGTCCGTTGTATAATCGAGGCAGTTTGTTACGCTTTCACGCAAAAACTACTGAACCGATCATCATGAAGTTTGTACACGTGTTCTTGGAGGTGTTAGAATGAACATAGGATACTTTTAATTTAGAAGATTCAATACGAGCGAAGCTGCGGGTAAAAGTTAGTAATAAATAAGTAACCCTGGACAATTAAAGCACCATCTAGACCCAAGTTAAGCTAGCTAAAGCTTGTGTTATGGGTACTAGATAACAGATACAAATACATAGATATATTTTTTTTTCGTAAATACATACATATTATACATAGAAAACACCCAGACCGACACAAACAATCATACTCATGAATACAAATGTTTGTGCCGTGCGAGGAATCGAACCCGCGACCATCGAAGTAAAGCGGTGTGCTAAACCACTAGACCACCGAGGTCGTCAACACATGTTCTTGGAGGTATTCAAATGAACATAGGATACTGTTTATTTAAAAGAACAAATATTTTTTAATTAATGGATTCAATACGAGCGAAGCCGTGGGTATAGCTATATGTATATATATTAGTGAGATTAAAATTGAAGCAGATTATTCACAATGGCTACATGATATAGTCAACATTTATTGTACGTAACGATACGAAGCTATAAACAAAATGTCTTGTGAACACACACTCAACATTATTAAGGGGATCTCAATATGAGAATAAATAAATAACCCTGGACAATTAACACAGCGCCATCTAGTCCCACGGTAAGCAGAGCTTGTGTTATGGGTACTAGAGAACTGATATAAATAAATAAATAACCCTGGACAATTACCACAGCGCCATCTAGTCCCACGGTAAGCAGAGCTTGTGTTATGGGTACTAGACAACTGATATAAATAAATAAATAACCCTGGACTATTAACACAGCGCCATCTAGTCCCACGGTAAGCAGAGCTTGTGTTATGGGTACTAGACAACTGATATAAATAAATAAATAACCCTGGACAATTAACACAGCGCCATCTAGTCCCACGGTAAGCAGAGCTTGTGTTATGGGTACTAGACAACTGATATAAATAAATAAATAACCCTGGACAATTAACACAGCGCCATCTAGTCCCACGGTAAGCAGAGCTTGTGTTATGGGTACTAGACAACTGATATAAATAAATAAATAACCCTGGACAATTAACACCATCTAGACCCACGGTAAGCAGAGCTTGTGTTATGGGTACTAGACAACCGATATAAATAAATAAATAACCCTGGACAATTAACACAGCGCCATCTAGTTCCACGGTAAGCAGAGCTTGTGTTATGGGTACTAGACAACTGATATAAATAAATAAATAACCCTGGACAATTAACACAGCGCCATCTAGTCCCACGGTAAGCAGAGCTTGTGTTATGGGTACTAGACAACTGATATAAATAAATAAATAACCCTGGACAATTAAATTAACACAGCGCCATCTAGTCCCACAGTAATTATAACCGACCCAATAACCAAGGGCCCAACACCCCTAAAAAATATGATTATATTGGTGCACCGCCAACAATCTTTCTCTGCACCACTCATGGTTGCCTGGTACATAACGCCGCTAGGTGTCCATCGAGGAGGTCATCAAATATGAAGTGATCGAGATATCAGACGAGGATGGAGACCAGACAGCCCAGAATAAGTATAACACAACTGTAAAATCTATACATATAAATAAAATTGGAGAGTCTGTTTGTAATATTGAAATAACCGTTTTTTACTACATGCATATGAATATAAATACGGTACACACACCAAACTAACATTTTTTACTATTCTTGTCTGTCAGTCTGTTTGTTCCGGCTAATCTATGAAATTGCTGGACCGATTTTGACGGGATTTGTTTGGCAGGTAGCTGACGTAATAAGGAGTAACTTAGGCTACTTTTATTTTAGAAAAATAAAGTTAAATTCCGCGCAAACGAAGTCGCAGTTTCAGCTATAAATAAATAAATAAACATTTTTGTTTCAGGATGTGGACGTAAAAGGTCACAAACGCCAGGCATGCCGGCTCAAGAACTATTGAGGCAACGTCAGGTAATTTATTTATCTAAATATATATAACTCAAAGGTGACTGATATAGTGATCTATCAACGCACAGCCCAAACCACTGGTCGGATCAGGCTGAAATTTGGCATGCAGGTAGATGTTATGACGTAGGCATCCGCTAAGAAAGGATTTTGATTAACTCTACCCCCAAGGGGATAAAATAGGGGATGAAAGTTTATATGAAACTTTGTCGATTTTAAACCGCTCGGGCTGAGACTTTGCTTGCATAAAGCTACTATGACGTAGCCATGCCCTAAGAAAGGATTTTGATAAATTAACGCGAGCAAAAGCTAGTCTTGTGTATAATGTGTTATACATCGCTTATTATACTAAGAAATAATTTTCTTTTTAAAAATACTAAAAGATTTAATTTTTTGCGGATTATATTGACCTGTAAAAGTGGTTGTAAAGGCCTATTTAGAAAATAAATATTTTAATTTTAATTTAATGTACACAGTACAGATGTAACAGTTCATTTGGTGGACTTAACACCATGCGGTATTTTCTACCAAATTCATATTGTTCTATACTATGTAATGATGATGTTTAACTTTAAAGAGTAGAAGAGTACAAACAAAAAGGTTTTTAATTTATTTATTATCAATAAGACCTTTGGCATAACCTGTACAAATATGAAGAAACTGAAAAGTAGATTAGGCTGTACGGTCTAACGATCTTTGCCTGTTACATCATTGAAAAAGACTTGGACAAATATGTGAAAAAAAAGTTGTTACGTATAAAACATTTTTTTTTCTTTGGCAAGAGACTAGTGTTGCCTATTATGCCACTTAAAACAGGAAACGAGATGGGATAAATTCAAATTCAATTTCAAAAATCATTTATTCATTTAGGACATTTTAGCCGCTTATGAACGTCAAGTTTTACATTATAATTTTTTTCCCTACCGTCCAGTTCGGTATATAGATCCAATTGAGAAGAACTGGCAAGAAACTCAATTGAATTACTGTTTTTTTAAAAGCCAGTTTATTTACAATGTATAGGTATTTATATAAGAAAAAGCAAGAAAAAAACATTTATTGTCAACCATTATTACATATACACATTTGACAATTGTACACTTTACACACATATGCACACACACACTCATATACATACATACAATAGAACAATTACAATAATTCATCTTATATTATTTCTACATGTGGTTGGCAACATGGCATGACATATATAGGTGTCTATGTCTAACATTAAATGAAAATCCCGTACATTAACAAAGCAGCTGATATAAATACAATATTTACTTTACAAAAGAGGGCCATTCACTCCATTTATGGTATGGGTTCCAGGGAGTCATTGCGAGAGTGTTTTAAGGAATCAAATATCCTCACCGTTGCTTCTCAATACATTTATGAAAATATCATGTATGCCAGGAAGAATATAGACAGTTTCAAAAGAGTTAGTGATTGCACTAATAAAAGCTTACGTAACAATAACAAACTGATTTTACCAAAATGTCGTTTGGCTAAAGTTAGTAATTCGTTTTATGGCAATTGCGTAAGGTTTTACAATAAAATACCAGAGTCTGTTATAAATCTGCCAGAAAAAAGATTTAAATGTCAAATAAAACAGTTCCTTTGCAAAAAAAGCTTACTATAAAATTGAAGAATTGAAGAATTGAAGAATGTTTTTATAGAAAAACTTTAAATCCATAGCACTGACAATATTATCTGATTACATTAATAATGAGTGCGTAGAGAGTTCTATGTTGATTATCGCATGCCTCTTACTTGTTATACTGTAATTATTTATATAAAAAAAACATCTATTAAAAAGAGCAACACACAAGTTTCTTGCTCGTTCTTCTTGTGATGAATCTGTATTCCGAATGAGTGGTAGAATCAAAATATGACTATTCAAAAGTGCTTGTAATGAGTTTATTTGAATAAAGATTATTTCTATTTCTATTTCTATTGCCATGCAAAATGTAATTAGTCAACCATAGGTGGTGCAGAGAAAAATTGTTGGCGATGCAAAAATAATTATAACATAATAACATACTATTATTTTACAATAATTATAATCATGCAAACTTTAGCTTTTTTAATTATCCGGCCGATATAAAAAAAACTGGGATTATTTTTTTTTAAAGTAATTAATCGCATTATTTTGTTAGTCTTAGTATAACATAAGGAATAAAATTTAATCGCATTATTTTGTTAGTCTTAGTATAACATAAGGAATAAAATTAGTTTTAGTTTTAAATTTTTAATCACTCAATAGTATATGACTTTTATAGAAAGAAAATGAATTTATTTGTTCCGCCGGACATCCAGCTGAACTTAGTTCGATATAGGAATATCCGGTATCCAAAGGCCAAAGTTCTATCCGTTTCATCTCTAAATAATATATTTATTGATCTATTAAGGTTACATATGTACAGAGTTAAATTAAAAATACTGTGACACGTAAATTTTATATATAAGAATAGCTGTTCCGGCAAACGTTGTTTTGCCATATAAATTAATAACGCTATAAAAAAATAGGGGTTGATGATAGAAGGGTGAAAATTTAGATTGTATGTATTTTTGTATGTTGTATCGTAAAAAAATAGAAACTAAAAATTTTGACTAAAAAATAAAAATTTTGGGGTGGACTACCCCTAACATTTAGGGGGATGAAAAATAGATGTTGGCCGATTCTCAGACCTACTCAATACGCTCACAAAATTTCATGAGAATCGGTCAAGCCGTTTCGGAGGAGTATGGGAACGAAAACTGTGACACGACAATTTTATATGTAAGATATTTCATTTAAAAAAAACTTTTTTTTTAGTTCGTCGACGACGAAGCTTTGGGTTCCATATTGGATTCAGAGAACGCAATCGACGATCTTTCCCGCCAAATATTATCCGAAGCGAAACTGTGGGAGGCGATACAGGAGGCCAGCGCGGAGATCGCCAGGCGGAAACAGAAGGAGTATCAGTAAATAACTTAATAACTGGTTTAGTACTGGTATCGTGGAACTGTTCCAATCCGAAACTAACGGTTCTGTTGTTTTTTCTTTATTTGCGTATTGTTATTTCTAATAATTGGGATTCAATTCTGACGCGTTCTAATAGATTGGACTTCATTTTTTCTTAATCTGCGTTTTGTTATTTCAAATAAAACAATGGTTTATAAACATTTTTAAAACTTAAACATTTTATACGTTTAGTAATAATGTGCCAGGGTTTTATTGCGTTTTGTTACTTCTAATAAAGAATTCTATTTAAAAGATAAACATTTTTAAAACATAAACATATTATAAATTTATTTATATAATGTGTCCAGTCTTAATACAGATAATTAAATCGTACATTGAAGTAACTTCTACAAATTTACTTCACTTATTAGAATGTTTTATCTTAAATCACTAAAATAATTTTAATATTATGGTTAAACGATTTGCGTTTCTATTAATATGAGGATTATCTACTATTTTGGAATAACTAGAAATTATATTTAAATTATTTGTATTTCTAATATAGAAATTTTCAATAGGTTTTACAACATAACCTCAAAAATTATTTAAAACTGATTTCTGAACACCACGATACCAGTTACAGGTTAAGGCAAAAACGACGTACTGGCTGTATATTAATAACCGCCGTAGCGTTTTGGAAAGTTGTTAAAATGTCCTAAATTATATCGTGTGTACGGTTGTATATTTAGATTCCTGCGTATTTGAAATAAATTAAAAAAATATATATTCCCGCGCATTTTATGTGCACTTGTAATGTCATAAAAAAATAAATTTATAAAAGGTATAAGAAACAATAGGTTCTTTTTTTAAATAACTAATATAACGCAATTAAATGTTCCACTTTTATTTTTTAGAAACCTTAAATTTGTTATAGTGATATAATACCTACTTTATAATTGTTGAATTAAACTACAATGAAATGGTTATTAAACTTCTTAATTATATATAATTTAGACTATAAATCATAAATTAAATTATGTTTTTTAATCTAGGAGGTGACATAGACACTGTATAAAAATATTGTCTAATTATAGTTTTAAAATTAGTATTATTGAACGTGGGCTGTATGTATCTCAATATTTAAAAAAAATGATCTCGTTCTTCTATTGTTTGATCTTCTTCTATTGTTCTGTATTGATGATAATGACCTATATTTTGGCGGCGTCGTTAATATTGGGGAAGTGTTGTAAATGGATTTCTAGCAAAGACTCCTGCAATCTAAATGATATAATATTTGTCAAAAAAATCTAGTCGTTAGCTATAAGAGAAGCATAATATTATGTTAATAAAACAAAATCATCTCGATACCAAACAGTTTTATTTTTTTATTTCTCTTATCATACATTCTTATATTAGTTATCTGTGGACGATTCTATGTCTATTTAACCAGCCTTTTTAGACACAGAATCGTGAAAAAGGAACATAGATAAGTACCCAGTCACTAATTACAAAAATGATCATTTAAAAAAAAACGAATTAAAAAGTTAAATTTCTATTTTTTGTGGACAATATAAAAATATATAACAATGTAATTTTAAGAATTGAAATAATTATTTATAATCTTATATAATATTATATATTATTATAATTTATATGAAAGTAAATTGACAATGGGCATATCGTCATAAATACATTACGAAAAAAGAATTCTTAATTCAGTGTTCAAATTTCGAACTGATATTGGTATATGTACGATCGCATCGAACCCTTTACTAGTCTCATTAGTCAAAAAGAGACGAATATATATCGTTCAGTTGCTATTTTAATTAGGATTCTTATTGTCTTCATGCAAATAAATATCTTATTTTAAAGTGATTACGGTTCGTAATGTAATTATGATATAATAGTATTGCAGCCTAAAAGAATCGAGTTGTTTAGTCTATTGTTTTAGATGTCATAGACAATTTGCAGCTGGTCGTCGTCGAATGTTCTATATTCAGGTGACACGTAGTTGCTCCACGGTTCCGCCATGTTTTCGAACAAGAACATTGGCATTTTGAATTTTGGCGCCTTTTCTGTTTTCGTGTCTTGAATATTGTGTTGTGAAAGCTAGAACAATATATTCGATTTATTGCATGATGCATTACAAATCTTTTAATTTCTCGGCTTGTTCTATACTATAACGCATATATTATACATAAAAACCTTCCTCTTGAATCACTCTATCTATTGCTGAAAACTGCATTAAAATCCTTTGAATTACTCAAAAGATATACGCGAACAGATAGCGGCGACGACTTTGTTTTATATTATGTAAGTGTGTATGTATATATATGACCACATTATACAATTTCAATGTACAATTGCTTACATTTGACCTGAAGTAGACTTTGTAGCAACCCAAACTTACCTTATGGTAAATAGCGGGAAAAATATATGACGTCTGTGTCATATTTTTCCCGCCAATATTTGTATTTAGCCAGTTATACAAAATAAACTTTTTTTTAAATTCAACCAAATATATTAATTGAATTAAAAGAAAGATGTTTAAGAATTAATATTAAGTGAAGAATTAAACTTTCTACCTTGAGAGGCTCAGAGCCTCTCTTCCGTCTTAGATAGTTGAAGCAGCATGATCTGAAATGTCTGGTGCCGCACGCTGACGCGCACTCGCTTCCGCAAGAATCGCATGAGAGGCTGGCCGCCCATAATGTGCTGCCTGCAGAAAAAATAAAAGTATATGAAAAAATATATATATACGGCAAAGGACCTACGTTTATTGTGGCTGAGTAAATAATCACTAAGTTTTACTCAAAATAAACGTAATTTCAACGAGTTATTATAAAATAATTAAACATTTACTAGATATATGAAAAGCTTCCAAAGTTTCGAACTAGTAACAATGAGGATATATCGGGAGCTCATAAATAACACAAATCATGCTAAATATACCGTTTATAAGTTTTTTATTCTGGAACTCTCGAAAAATAGGTAATAGTGTTAGGCACAGCTCGTCTTTCTTTTTTTTGTTTTTACCATATTTTATTACATTACAGTTGTACCACTGTAAGAATGTTAATTGTATTCTAATGTTATCTTTTATTCTCTATGATATGATACAGTTTTTTGTGCCATAAACGAAACTGGCACAGCTCGCCTTTACAACATAGTAAACGAAAGAATCCACAGATAAGAGAAATTATAATCATGCTGACAAACTAACAAATAATACATAAACCAAGTCAATATAACTATAACACATATATATATATATTTTGATACAAATATGGTATAGTGTAACCTGGCGCACTAAGCAAAACTACACGCTACTGAAATGCGTGGGAATGAGGTGGATTCCAAAGAACCATGGACAAGTAGAGGACAAAGTCTGAAACGAGCATCTAAGACGCAATTTCGGAGTGATACCTACTACAGAAAACCTTAAAGAATGTAGACTTAGGTGGTATGTACATGCTCTGAGTAAACCCGATAAAAACGTGTGACACAGTGCCTTTCCGCGGTTACATTGAAAAGGTTACTAGGTAACAGTGGCGTGGTTAGGTAACTGAGGACCCTGGGGCACATCAAAAAATGGGGCTCCACTGTTCAGCAGTGGGGCTCTACATTATAGTTTTATTAAAACGCACATAGCGCTATCTGACAAATTGACAACACTGCTAACCCACAGAAAGAATTTAGGAGAATTCCGACAGCATGCGGCAAAACTTTCGAATTTCCTTCAATTGAGTTGCCATGATTAAAGTTGGGTACCTTAACCTTATTTTGAAAATGGGAGAAATTTTCAAAAGTTCAGTTCTATTGAGATTTTGGCACAGCCCAGCCTAGCCCCTAGGTAACTACGCCACTGCCAGGCAACTACCTGGTTGACTAATATCCATAGGAACATGAAGGAGTTGGGCCTGTCAAATGATGATGCTTACCAGCGAAATGCATAGCGCCTCAAGATTATGAAAACCGGGATATGAAGATGAAGGAGTTGGAGGTCGAAATACATGGCGCCTCAAGATTAGGAGCGTAACGGGAAAAGACGAGGCTGAAGAGATGGTATTGTGTACCCGCCTGCGCTAACGGCATACCCTGGCGGGGCACCAGTAGAGGATAATTGGTTGAGAATGAAGGTAGATCACTAATGGGAACTAGAGATACTACATTGCACCATTCTATTATCATCCATTAAAAAACTGTTGCCTTTGTTTATTACTTTTTGTGAGCCTCCCCTCCCTTCCCTAAAAAGAAAACTCCCCCTTCCTGTTTCCTCTAGAAACTAACAAACACCACCACAAACTAACAAAAAACCACAAAATTCTAACAACTAAACGTGTAACACAGTCGTAACTACCAACTACTCACGAAACTACAGCATGGGGTTTTCAAAAATATATAATCTATTTTCTGATTTTATAAGGTTTCTTAAGGGTTGGCAACGTGCACCTGACACCACTGGTGTTTCAGGCGTCCATAGGCTACGGTAATCACTTATCATCAGATGGGCCGTATAACTCCCTTTTTCCCCATTCCCTGAAAATACACAACAAAACACAGAAATCTAACTAACAATCAACTACTTGGTCCGGGGGAAAGGGGATTGTTAGACATGTGGCCTGATAACCTCATAGCTAGCAATGTACCATATCTTGTTGTTTTCCACATAGTTCCCCTAGAAACCATCGTGATAAATTCATGATGAATTTACCACGATAGACTAACTGACCGAACTTCATGTTCATCTTATCATCCTCCACAGGTGCCACGCCAGTGGAAACCTAGTGGAAGTTTCTTTGATATCTCTAAAAATCCCCTTTTCCCCCCTTCCCTGAGGCCACACCACAAACTAACAACAAAACACGGAATATTAACAACAAAACGTGTAACATAGTCCTAACAACCATCAACTACCTGTTCCGGGGGGAAGGGAATTCCTGGTGACTTGACCACAATGAGCTAACTTCATGCTCATCCTATAATCCTCCACTGGTGCCCCGCCAGCTTAAACCGCTAGCGCAGGCGGGGCACCATTCCATTATCATCCATAAGAACTCCTTTTCCCCCCTTCTCTGAAGACACATACTAACAACAAAACACAAAATTCTAACAACAAAACATCTAACACAGTCCTAACAATCAACTACTTGGTCCGAGGGGGAAGGTGATTGTTACCCCATTGTTAGGAATGTACCATATCAAGTTGCTTTCCACATAGTGCCCCTGGAAACCATCATGACAAATTCATGGTGATTTTACCACGATGGGCTAATCGACCTGACTTCATGTTCATCGTATCATTTCTCCACTGGTGTACCATGTCAAGTTGATCTCCACGCACTTCCCCTGGAAACCAACGCGGTCTATTTCTGGTAAATTCGCCACGAAGGGCTAATTCACCTTAACATCCTCCACTAATGCCCCGCCAGCGTATACCCTTAGCGCAGGCTGGTACACCATTCTATTATCATTACTCATTAAAGAAAACTGTTTATTACTTTTTGTCAGCCTCCCTTCTCCTTCCCTAAAAAGGAAACCCCTTCTTTCCCCTTCCTTGAAGACACACCACTACAAACTAACAACAAAACACAGAATTCTAACAACTAAACGTGTAACACAATCCTAACAACCAACTACTTACGAGACTACAGCATGGGGTTTTTCAAGATATATTTATATATTAGATATATAAATTAAATGACACCCTTGGTGTTTCAGGCGTCCATACGCTACGGTAACCATTTACCATCAGATGGGCCGTATCACTTTTCTCCCATACCTTGAAGATACACAACCACTAACAACAAAACACAGAATTCTAACAACAAAACGTGTAACACAGTCCTAACAACCATCTACCTGGTCCGTAGTCTGCGGACGCCGTGGCCTCTTTCTTATGCCGCCTGGTATCGGCTTCTGACCACATCGCTACCAAGTATAACCAGGATATGAGGGACGCTTCAAGACTTAAAAATAACATCTTAGTAATATTATAGTTGTTTAAATTACTAGGTTTGTTTCTCATATCCATTACTAGACTTAAGATTATTATAAGACTTAAATTTAATAAAATCTTATTTATCTGATAGAATACAGAAAGTAAAGGTTAGCAGCGCTACGTCTGACGGATCACTTGTGCAAATGGGTGTACCTCAAGGATCTATTCTCGGTCCATTTTTATTCCTAGTATACTTAAATGATCTCCCATATGCCATGCAGGATAGATGCGGGATAGTGTTATTTGCAGATGATACTTCATTGATTTTTAAATTTATTAGATTGACTAATAATTATGACGATGTAAATAGTGCTTTGCAGCGTCTCTTGCACTGGTTTACAACTAACAATCTTATGTTAAACGTTAAAAAAACAAAATGTGTTGAATTTTCTCTGTCTAAAACTTTAATACTAATTGCAACATAAAATTAAATGACGAATCTCTCGAATTTATAGAATGTACTGTCTTTCTAGAAATCACATTAGATAATAAAACACAATGGGGTGCACAAATTCAAAGTCTTGCAGCGAAACTGAGTTCAGCAGCTTTTGCCGTGCGTAAGGTCAGACATTACACTGATACTGATACTGCTAGATTGGTCTATTTCAGTTATTTTCATAGTTTACTCTCTTATGGAATATTATTATGGGGAAAAGCGGCAGATATTAAAAATATATTCATATTACAATAACGTGCCATTCGAGCGATCTACTGTATGAAGAGTCGTAACTTATTAAGAGAGAAATTCAAAGAGGCAAATATTGAGAATATTTGCCTCTTGCCGTTGGTTCTCAATTAATATATTCAAATATCCTATATGTTCATAAAAATCTTGACTTATTTCCAAAAAACAGCAATATTCATAATATTAATACTAGATTTAAAGACAAACTTGCTGTCCCCAAATATCGTTTAGAAAAAGTCAATAGGTCTTTTATGGGAATAGGTATAAAAATTTACAATAAGATACCAAGGATATACTGGAATTACCCTTAAATAAATTTAAAACATCTGTTAAATCATATTTACTGAGCAAACCCTATTACTCACTAAACGATTACTTGAATGACGAGCGTGCATGGCAATAGTTGTTCATGCACTGCATTTTCATTTAATGTTAGACATAGACACCTATATAAAAATACATTGTAAATAAACTGGCTTTTAAAACAAAAAGAATTTTTGAAATTACAGACTTCAAATTAATTTATTTCCATGCATACAAATATTTTCTTTTTATCTATCTACTTTTAATATTGGTGCAATAAAGAATTATAAATAAAAAAAATATTATTAATTTTTAATTTCTTTGCTTTATATTAAAGTGAAAAAGTTACCGATAAGCAACAGAGAAACAAAAAAATAGAAAAGATAACGAGAGACAATTGCTCTAATCTTTAACATTGTTTTAAAATTTAAAAATAATCATTACAGTGAAAAATTGTTAATTTTAAAATTACAAACTCAATTAATTTTAATGTATTTGTATAAATAAAAATGTATATTTATATTAATTTAGAGAAACACTGTTAATTTTTGAAATCACAGACTTAAGTTTTATTTATTTCTATGCATATAAATATTATTCATTTTTAATTCTTTTGCTTTATATTAAAGTGACAAAACTTACTGACAAGCAACAAAAAAACAAAAAAAATATTCAACACAATGAAATATTGTTAATTTTAAAATTACAGACTGACTTAATTTGATGTATTATAGTAAAATAAAATAAAATTTCACGCGGACGTAGTCGCGGATATAGCTAGTATAATATACAGCTAGTATAGATAAAAATGTATTTTTATATTCACTTAGTGAAAAGGTGTTAATTTTTATAATTACAGACTAATGTTAAATTATTTGTATATATATATATGTTTAAGTCACGATTCCTTTGCCTTATAAATAAATAAAAAAAAAACTTACCGATAAGCAACAGAGAAACAATGGCTGTGATCTTTAACATTGTTTTAAATTTAAAAAATAATCAACACAGACCCGCAAGATGGCGCTGTGTCAACAGCTGATGTTCGAATGTCACCCAACACCTTTCATCCCCTTTTTATATCCAAGCAGAGTGTGCTTACTTACAAAGTGTAGGCAGCAAAACGTGGCGAAAATACTTATTTGTTTACGGACTTGCTTCAGTTGATACATAGATATTTTTTATATTCGTCCATCTCATTTTCAGTGATGGAACAGGCAAAGTTTTTTTTTTTTCTCTTATTTGGCAAGAGGCTAGTGTTGCCTATTATGCCACTAAAAACAGGAAACGAGACGGGATAATGGAAAGGAACGGGTTAAATTTTGAATATACTCGGAATTAGTGATCATGGGTTTTAAAGTTTAATGTTATTATGGAAAATAAAAGACGCAAGAGATTTATAAATTATAGGATTAGGATGAGCTAATAGGCATACAATGGATAACGGAAAAGGAATTTCTAATGAGATGAGTGTTTCTATAAATGAAGAACGATCGTAAGAGGAGCAGGAAAACACAATATGATTTAGATCACCCACATCTTCTCCACATTCACAGATATTATTGTCTTTTATACGTAGTTTTGTTAAATGTTCAGGGCTGCAAACATGACCAATTCGCATACGAATCAAGACACTAGTTGATCTTTTATCAAGATGTAATTTGAAAAACCACGGTTTAAGAGGTATAAACGGTTGGACTAAACAGTACTGTTTCCCTTTAATTTTGCTACTTATTGTCCAATCTTGACTCCATGAATCATGAAGACAAGACTTAGACAAGGCAGTCAGATCATGGCAAAAGTTTTTATAAGGAAAAAGATCTCCAGATAATATAGCTTCATTCGCAAGCAAATCTGCTTTTTCGTTGCCCCGAATGCCACAGTGACCCGGAATCCAAACAAAAGATACAATATGTCCTTTGAGACGAATGCTATTCAACATAATATATCTCGGATATCAAAAATTAGAGGATACTGTTTAGATGATTTGAATGGACATTTAATTAGATCTTGAAGAGCACTTTCAGAGTCCGTAAATATAACAGTTTGCTTAAGATTAAAAATTTTAATATATTCTACTGCTTGAAAAATTCCATAGCATTCACCAGTAAAAACAGAGGTCTCTGGTGGAAAAATAATTTTCTGAATTATATGAAATTGTGAGTGGTAAATTCCTACACCAACATTTACAGGCAAAGTTGATACATAGATGCCTATTTTTTATTTTTAGATAGTATTCTTTATATGGGTCAAAGGGTCTAAGCTCATACAGCCTTTATTTTAATAGTTATTTCGATTCTTTTTACTTTCTTAAAATATCTTCAACTATAAAAACATTCTAATCTGTACATATAAATAAAATTGGAGTGTCTATTTGTAATATTGAAATAACAGTTTTTTACTACATGCATATGAGTATAAATACTGTAAATACACCAAAATAACATTTTTTATAATTTTTGTTTGTCTGTCTGTCTGTCTGTTTGTTTGTTCCGGCTAATCTCTGAAATGGTTGGACGGATTTTGACGGGATTTTTTTGGCAGGCATCTAATGTATAAAGGAATATCTTAGGCTATTTTTATTTTAGAAAAAATCCTTTATTTTAGAAAAATAATGTTAAATTCCACGCGGACGAAGTCGCGGGTACAGCTAGTACTTATATGAAATTCTCGTGCCCGGGTGTTTGTTACCAAACTCCTTCGAAACGGCTTCACCGATTTATATGAAATTTTGTGTGCATATCGAGTAACATTTTAACGTCTTAAGAGTAATATTTTTATAATCTTTGAATATTATATCTATTATTTAATCAACATCACAAAAAAAAGGTTTCCAACTTCTAGCTTAAAAATGACTATTTCTATATAACCTTTCATTTCCCCTTACCGCCCTTTTTTCGCATTATTAAGCATATTATGTCCTTTCGCAGTGTCTAGATTAACTGTGTACCAAATTTCATTTAAATCGGTTCATACATACGTGTGTATGTATGAACCGATTGAAATTAAATTAAATAAATTGATAAATACGAAACTAACGCTTAAAAATGTGTATTTTTAAGAGTTAGTTTCGTATTTATAACATTATTAATGATAATATTAGAATCTTTCCCACACTTTATCACACTCTTAAAGTGTAACTTCATTTTTATGCTACGATGGTGTCAAACAAGCATACGGCCCAACTGATGGTAAATTTATGGAAGGTCCAAATAAAGATATATTCGATTAGATTGCTAGTTAAAAATACACTTTAATTCCGTAACTTTATCAATCAAAACAAGTGTTTATATATAGCTATCTACTTATGAAACTTGAGAATATATACATATAAATAAAATCGAAATGTCCGTTTGTAATGTTACATTAACGGCTTTGCACTAAATGCATGTTAAAATATACGGCACTTTAAACAAATATTTAAAATAAATTTTGTCTATGTGTCTATCTATCAGTTGCTAATTTTTGTAACGGCTGGACCGATTATTATAGGACTTTCACTCGCATATGTATAACTAAATATCAGTTTTATGGACAATCTTCGTGTTAATCAGTGCTAGTTGATATGTTGTATTAACTATTGGGTAGAAAGAGTCATTATAAGATTTTTTTTAGTGAAGTTTTATATCTATTTACATTAAAAAAAAAAGAAATTCCACGCGATAGAAGAATCCACGAGACAATACAAATGGCAGGCTTATATCTAATCAATCAAATACCCTTCATTAGAGAAAGTAACAAAAATTCGTGAAGAAAAAATTATTAACTTAAAGTTATTTTTGTATTCTATAATCAAAACTATAAAAACAAAATTATATACTATGTCACTTTAGAGAAAGTAACAAGAATTTGTTAAGAAGAAATTATTAACTTAAAGCTTATTTTTGTATTCTTCAAACAAAACTATAAAAACAAAATTATATACAATGTCACTTTTTAGAGAAAGTAACAAGAATTTGTTAAGAAGAAATTATTAACTTAAAGTTTATTTTTGTATTCTATAATCAAAATTATAAAAACAAAATTATATACAATGTCACTTTTTAGAGAAAGTAACAAGAATTTGTTAAGAAGAAATTATTAACTTAAAGTTTATTTTTGTATTCTATAATCAAATCATTCCGAATAAGCGGTAGAATAAAAAAAAACTTGACTATTCAAAAGTGCTTATATTACGTTTATTTGAATAAAGATTATTTCTAAAAATATTTCTATTTCTATTTCTTCAAAACTATAAAAACAAAATTATATACTCTGTCACTTTAGCGAAAGTAACAAGAATTTGTTAAGAAGAAATTATTAACTTAAAGTTTATTTTTGTATTCTTCAAACATAACTATAAAAACAAAATGATATACTATGTCACTTCACTGTCTACCGTCTTACCGTTAAAACATTTATTCCCAATTATAAATAGTTTAATTACACATCTCTACAACAGTAATACAAATGGCGTTCTTATATCTAAACAATCAAATATCTTTCGGTAGAGAAAGTAACAAAAATTGTGAGAAATTATATACATGTTTATAAGAAAAAAAATTAAATTCCACGCGATAAAAACCGCGGGTAATGGGTAGTGTTAATACTATGACAAGATGAGAATATTTTAATAACTAAACAAGCTACAAACGGCGATTGATTATAAAGTTTTCCTATAAAAATGTTAAATACTCAACAGTAGTGCGTGATCTGTTTGCAATATTTGCGCAGGTCCTGTTTTTTTAAAGGATAATAATGGAGGAACGATAATAATCTGTAATAACGGTTTACGCTGGCGGGGCACCGGTGGAGGATGATAAGATGAACGTTTACGCTGGCGGGGCATCAGTGGAGGATGATAAAAGGAACGTTTTCTGGCGGTTTCAATATTGATGATAAGATCGGAACGTTTACCATTGCTGGAGTGGAGGATGATTCCACAATGTGGTTGGGCACCAGTGGAGGATGATAAGATGAACTTATAAGTTTATCTTATCATCCTCCACTGGGGCCCCGACAGCGTAAACCGTTAGCGCAGGCGGGGACACCATTCCGTTATCATCCACAAAAAAAAAAGTCCTTTCTTCCTTCATACCTGATCATCTGGATGAATGGCGGTCCTCTAGTGTCCTCTCCACAGTGCGGTTTTCTAGAAACCTTTTGCCACGCACAACCACATTGTGGAATCACCTTCCAGCAATGGTATTTCCGATCTGATACAATATTGAAACCCTCTAGAAAAGAGCTTATTCCTTTTTAAAAGGTGCCCCGCCAGCGTAAACGTTCATCTTATCATCCTCCACTGGTGCCCCGCCAGCGTAAACGTTCATCTTATCATCCTCCACTGGTGCCCGCCAGCGTAAACTGTTAGCGCAGGCGGGTGCACCATTCCATTATCATCCATAAAAAAAAACACGACCTGCGCGGGGGGAAGGAGATTGTTAGTAATGTGGACTCATGACCCCATTACTAACAATGTACCAAGTCAGGTTGACCTCCACGCGGTTCCCCCTGGAAAGCATCGTCAGATCAGTTTTATTTATTTATTTATACATAACAATAATTATTGTGTCGAATTTCAAAGTACAAAATGAAATCTAAATCTAAAATAACAATGTCAAAATAATAGTACCAATAACAATAGAATCAATAATATAGTACCACAGATACTTAATATAATATGTAGTACTATGTAATATTATATTTCCAATAATAATTTCCAAATTGAGCCACAGTAACATCAAAAAATTCGTCTACGGAGTAAAAGCGTAAATTTTTTTTAATAAATATTTTTTAAGTTTAATTTTGAAATTGTTTTTATAAATAGCATCATATCATCTATGCCAGAAGGAATATAGACAGTTTCATAAGAGTTAGTGATTGCACCAATAAAAGCTTACGTAACAATAACAAACTGATTTTACCTAAATGTCGTTTGGCTAAAGTTAGTAATTCGTTTTATGGAAATTGCGTAAGGTTTTACAATAAAATACCAGAGT